CAGCGGTCGCTCTTTCAAGGATGAAGATGTTCACATCCTGGACAGAGAGGAACGATGGTTTGAGAGAGGAGTAAAGGAGGCCATCTTTGTGAAAAGAAATCGTCCATCATTAAACAGGGGTGGAGGCCTCCGTGTTCAACTGTCCCCCTCTTACAATGCTGTGATTGTTAGTATCACTCAGCCCTCTGTGAACAGTAAACAGCCATCAGTGTGCTAATGACCCATTGTTAGGCTGATGGTCCTTCTTGAGCATGTGATCAGCTGGTTTTGGTTGTCAGCAGCAAACTGGTTGATCCACTCTGAGAAGGTGCTATTTAAGAGACTGAGCTGAAAACAGCACCTCAGACTGAGGAAGTCTCTTGGATGAGAGACAAAACTTTTCTAGATTTTTTGCTTTGTTTTGTTTTTTTTTTTTTTTTTGTTTTTTTTAATGTCCAGAGGACCAGATTGAACTTTTTTGGATTAAAAACTAGGTCTTCCTGTTTCCCTTTCCTTTTTGCCCTAAGAGAAATCAACTTAAAAGAAGAAAAAAAAACAATCAATGTACCTGAGACTGTAGAGCACTTTTCCATCGGGGTAAACTCGCAGCATGACATTGTCAGTGGTAGTATCATGTATGAAGGACTTCTTGGAGTGAACAAAAAACATGTCAGGTACCCAAATTTTCTTCACTAGACGGCCATCAAAGGTCATGCTCTGATTGGTGTTGCTTTTAAAGGACAGACGCTCATCTTTCCAGTAGTGCCTCAGATACAAGGTCATTGTAAAATCCTTAAATGAGAAAACAAAAGTTGTATTTCCACAGCAGTGTTTCAGTGGTACATACATCTAACTGTTTGTAACACTTACCATATCAACCTCTGAAATCGCATCCAGGCTTTCAACCTGAACGTCCACTCCAACGGGGACAGCAGGCCCTACAGACGAGACATGTTGTCAGAGTTCTACTTCCTCGTCATTTACAGCAGGTTTCTCTGAACATACATGAAAGGAGGGCAGATCAAACCCAGACGCATCTTTAGGAGCTGCTTAGATTAACCACGTTTTCAATCATTTTGGACCCATCCATCCATTATCTTTACCTGCTTCTTCCTTTTTGGGTCACCGAGGTCACTAGTGCCCATGTCCAGCCTGTGTGAGAGGTGGGGAACACCCTGGACGGGTCTCCAGTCCATCACAGGGACACATAGAGACAAACGAGACAAACAACCATTCACTCTCTCACTCACATCTAGAGACAATATAGAGTTACCATTCAGTCAAACATGCATGTTTTTGGTCTGTGGGAGGAAACCCACACATGCACAGAGGGAACAAACAAACTCCACCCAGAAAGGTCCCAGGTCGGGATTTGAGCCAGCGACCTTCTTGCTGAGAGGCAACCGCTGTACCAACTGTGCCACCGTGTTGCCCCATTTTAGATCCCTACTATGAAAAATGGATGATCATGAAACTACCTCTCTGTTTATTTGTCTGTTTGTTAGCTAAATACCTTCTGAACCAGTGGAGAGTTTTTAATGAAGATCTCAACAAGTAATCTCTAGATTAATAACTTCAAGAAATTAGCATTTTGGAGTCAATTTAATTCAACCTTGGGCTACATAAGATCAGTGGTGGGCATGGTTCAGCTAATCTACTAACAGCTAATCCCAAAACTAACTTTTTGTTTAGCGGACTTGCGTTTTCATTAACTATGGAAACCGTTAATGCAATTAGCTTCTGCTAAATTAGGTTAAGCTAACTTTAAGTCTGCTAACAAAATTTATCAGTAAAACATCTATTTTATGCAATCTATCCTGAATTAACAAACAATTATCCCCACACACAAGCAGTGCTTCACAGGCGCACCATGTGTGTTCTAATATTTGTACCTGTTAAGCATCAGTGAAGCTATTTTTTTTTAGTTAATGAGTTAGCAAAGCTAACTTTTTCATTAGCTCTCCCACCACAACCTAAAATTATGTAGAGTATGTTGTCATGAATAATAAAGAACTCGAAGCCGGATAAACAAGTGATATGCCGATATCCATTGCCAAAAGATCTGAATAGTGAATGTTTTGTAGTTTTCAGGATGAATGTTTTTCAGGACTGGAAGTGAACAGAGAACACAAATAAACCTTAATGTTTTTGGCGCAAAGTACTGATACTCAAGGGGGTTGGAGTTACTGTACACTTTGTAGAAGAACAAAGGTAGATTGTTTTTGTTTGTTTGTTTGTTTTTTCTAGTACAAGGATAATCTGATGATCAATCTCCAAGGCTGATTGGCACGCTTCATAACCAATGTCCAAAAGTAAAAATGTTTCAGTAAAAATCCTTCCAGCTGCACAGTGTCCTAGACCAGAGGAAGTAATCCAAAAAAGACGATTTACCGCCAGAAAACGAGGAAATAAAGTTTCCAAAAGTGATATCTCAGAATGAAAGTAACAGAGCTACTCCAACATGCAGCCACCTTGAGCAGCGCAATTCTAGAACAAGCAATATTAAAACTAGAAGCAGTTTCTTCAAATGATAGGAGTGGTCAGTTTACACACACACACACACATACACACTCATATATATATATATATATATATATATATATATATATGTATGTATGTATGTATATATATACTGCATATAGGGTGGTGACCATCTTGGATTTTGACGTGGCAACTCAATTAGGAACTTTTCTTACGCCTAGATGGGGCCCACACACCAGAATGGTAGTTGATCACTTATTTATCGTGCTCGCAACACACACGAACAAACAGCGGGTATTTCGTATGCTTTTTGTTCTGTGACAGGGGACAACAAAGCTGCCAGAATCCTAAGAAAATTTCTAAATGATCATTCAGAACGTCTGAAGACAACTTTTGAGAATTCCATATTCTTGACTGCTTGGAAAGAAATTTTGAAGTTGGGTCAAAGGTTTTATCCCCAGCTATTTTTATTTCAGCTTAAACAATTATTTTTTTAACACAAGAATCTTTCTGTTTTACAAAGACAAATGAAAAGGCGTAACAAAAGAAACAAAGCCGTTTTTCAGCGGTTTCAACAGACCTGCTGGATGAACACATCTGCCACTGCAGCAAGAGGAGGAACTTCTTCACTCACCCTCCTGACATGCAGAGGTTTAACTTCAAAAACATCTTGTGTTGATTCTGAACCATCCAGGACATGGTAAAGTCTAAAAATTTAAGAAATATAAAGTCCAGTTGCCTTGTTTTGCAAACTATTCAGATATATTTTTTAAATATATTATTTTTTAATTGACTGATAGGAGTCTAACTCCAAACAGCTGGACTGACTGAGCAGTTTTATCACGTCTGCTGATAGTTCATGTTGAAACAGAATCTTTATCCCTGAAGTCCTTTGTGTTCAATGATTTGAGAGGTTTAGAGACTGAAGCCTGTGGGTTGCAGCTGTGTGGCTCAGGCATAGTTTTATCCTTTTGTGTCAGCTTTGTTTACTCCCACTGCTGCCTTTGAACAAGATAAGATTAGATCAGCAGAGGGCAACAGTTTTTTTCCACAGGAAATATATAATTTGAAGTATCTTACCAAATTAAGATATTTAAAGTAATCAAACGGTCACAGAGAGAATTGGAAATAAATTTTATTTAAGACAGATAATATGGAAGACTTTTCAGTCTTTTTCTAGTTGTAGCATGCTTGATAAAAAACATGGCTCCCTATACTCTTTAGGGGTATAAGACTATTACTGGCTCTTGTGAAAACATTTGTTAGTTTAAATGAGGAAAAAATAAAAATAAACCATGCTTGCTTTTTGGAGTCTAAATTTCAGTCTAGTTCTAGAAACATGACAACTTTAAAATTAAAAAAGTTTTAGCCTATTTTAATCCAAAGGTTTTCAAGATCTCCCAGTTAAACTTCCTTAAGGTTAATTCATAAAATACAGGTTTTTATCAACTTATTTAAAAGTTGTTTTCTGTTAAGGATATTGGTGGCGGATGGAGCTTGTCTGAGGGCCATCCCTTGCCCATGTCTGGATTAGATTGTGTGTTTCTGTAGGTCTTCAACAACGGTCAGTGTGTATGATGCATTAATATTCAGCATATCTCAATACAGCATCACATTCAGCAGAAGGCTAGCACGATGCTGGACAGAAAGTTAGCATCTTACCTCCAAATCCTGGTCGCATGGTGAAATCATGGTCATCTATCCTCAGGATCTGCTCTGACTTTGTACTCTGTGCCTTGGTTATATCTGGACTTCTCTTAGGTGAACAGCTGGAAGGAAACAGAAGCAGCAACAACATTTTGTATCAATGTCAAATTTATTTCTATTTCGTTTTAAAATAATAGATTTTGTGAAAATAATATACCAACACGTTCAAAAGGATCAGTACCACTGGACTCATGTTCTGCTTAAATCAAACCCCAAGGAACAAATGGTACACAATGTTCTCCATCACAGAGAGATTTGAATAGTGAATGTTTGTGGTTTTTGAGATGTGTTTTCTGGACTGAAAATGAATAGGGGCTGCAAATAAACCTTAATGTTTTTGGTGAAAGATGTTCAAGTGGGTAAGAGTTCCTTTATATCTCATCCATCCATTATTTTTTTACCTGCTTCTTCGTTTTTGGGTCACTGGTGCCCATGTCCAGCTATCAATGTGCAAGAGGCGGGGGACACCCTGGACAGGTCTCCAGTCCATCACAGGGGCACCTGGACATGTCTCCAGTCTATCACAGGGACACCTGGACACGTCTCCAGTCCATCACAGGGGCACCTGGACATGTCTCCAGTCTATCACAGGGGCACCTGGACATGTCTCCAGTCTATCACAGGGACACCTGGACACGTCTCCAGTCCATCACAGGGATACATAGAGACAAACGAGACAAACAACCATTCACTCTCACTCACAACTGGAGACAATTTAGAGTTACCAATCAGTCTAACATGCATGTTATTGGTCTGTGGGAGGAAACCAGATTACCTGGAGAAAAACCACACATGCACAGAGAGAACATGCAAACTGCACCCAGAAAGGCCCCCAGCCGGGATTTGAACCAGTGACCTGCTTGCTGAGAGGCAGCAGCTCTACCAACTGAGCCACTGTGCTGCCTGTATTATGTGTAAAAATATATATTTTTATTTATTTTGTCTTGTCGAAGGCAGCACAGAGTGACTTGATTCTGTCGAGAGGAGGGAGCAATTTTATCCACCACCAGGGGCAATGGTGGAGCCAGGGGGTGGCCAGTGGTGGCCTTGGCCCCCATAGATGAAGCTTAGGCCATCCCAAAATTTGAGAAAACTATACTTTTAATCAATATTACAACTAGGAAGTATAGTTTCCTCAAATGTTAGTGGTGGTCAGTTTACAAATATATATGCCAGTGGCCATCTTGGATTTTGACGTAGAAACCCAATTTATGGAAGGACACTTTCTTGCACCCATGTAACCACACAGCAAAATGGAAGTTGGTAGCTCACTTATTTTTCAAGTTATCATGCTCACAACATACATGGATGGATGGATGGATGGATGGATGGACAGAGGGTATTTCTCATTTCACTCTGCAACAGAGGACAGTTTCTATGACATGTTCTGTATTTTTGATTCTCTGTAGTTTGATGGTAGTTTTCTGTCAGAAGGCAAAAGGCTGACAGTCATGATTTCACTTGTGTGTCTGTTTGTATGTAGCTATATGTGTTTTCTTTGTCTGTATGTTAGCAAAATATCTCATAAACTACTGGATGAATTTGAATAAAACTCTTGACTCTTGGGAAGTAAGGCTTAAATGCTTGTCTACAGCTGTTTGAGTTTCATGATGGCTGCCACTACTACCTGAACTTAAGAAACACACAAATGACTACAACTCAGTCAGTTGTGTTCATGTTGATCTAAAATTGAATGTAGTTCTGACTTTATCTGAGTCATTTTTGGTGCATACTTTGAGTAAATGGTAAATGGACTGTACTTATATAGCGCCTTTGGGTGGCTGTGGCTGAGTGGTTAGAGCAGTCGTCCTCCAATGCGAGAGTTGGGGGTTCGAATCCACCAGCAGTCACATGTCGAAGTGTTCCTTTGAACCCCTCATAGCCTCTGATGTGTGTCCCATCAGTGTATGAATGTGATCTAAAGCACTGATTAGTCTCTTTGGAATTATTTGTTCAATTAGCTTTGTAGAGTGCTGTATGAATGGGTAAATGAGGACACAGATTGTAGTGTAAAGCGCTTTGAGTATCTTGAAATAAGATAGAAAGGTGCTGTATAAGTACAGTCCATTTACCTTTCTATCTGATAAAGATACTCAAAGCACTTTACACTACAATCTGTGCCTCATTTACAAGGTTCATTCATACAGCACTCTACTAGATCTCTACAAAGCTAATTGAACAAATCATTCTAAAGAGACTAATTCGTGCTTTATCACATTCATACACCAATGGGACACACATTGGAGGCTATGAGGGGTTCAGTGTCTTGCCCAGGGACACCTCAGCATGTGACTGCTGGTGGATTCGAACCCCCAACTCTTGCATTGGAGGATGACTGCTCTAACCACTCAGCCACAGCCGCCCAGTGCTAACACATTGCTGATATTTGTGTTTAACAATTTGGCTTCATTTGTTAGATTCAACCTTGTTCGTCTGTTAACAAAATGCTTTATGAAGTATTTGACAGATTGTAATGAAACTGAACTAAACACTGAGTTTATAACTGATCAACTTTTAGAGTCAGCCCAGGTAAACATAACCACCAGAGCTAGGAAGGCTTTTTTTAAGGAATGCTGTTGAAGTTATTCACAGGCAAATAATCTTTTGAACTTCCTAATTCTGAGCGCTAAGAAAAGATTATACTCGGCTTAGATGCAGAAGTAGGCCATCTTTCTCTGAATGTATAGAAAACAGTGGAGTGATTAACATGTTAATCTCCTGGCTCTCTTAAGCTCCCATTAAAGATGCTTCTAACTTTATCCTCAGTTATTTCTCTAAATAAACTGAAAAAATAAAATAAAAGTCACAAAATACCTGCTAATCTGGCAATTGGATCCTTCTACTGGGGACATCTCTCGTTTCAGTCTGAAAAATAAAGAAAATATAACAAAAAATTAAACAAAAGAAGAATTTTTAATCTTGCTCAGGATGGGAGACTGTGATGAAGTGAAGATTCAACACAATTTGCTGCTTCCTTAGATATATTTAGCTTTTTTATGTATGTGAATATTTCTGTTCAGTGCCTTGAAACAACGTCTGTTGCGACTTGGTGCCATATAAATAAACTGAATTGAATTTTAAGAGAATTGTTTTACAAGCCTGAAGAACAATAGCCTATACATTAGGCCCTCGTTTGGCTAGTATCTATTAGCCTAGCCTGGACAAAGACTTTTGCCGTTACCTCTACATTTTGCACTCTATGGTCACGACTGTTTAAAAATTATCTACTGATAGTTATTAGACTGAAACTCACTTTGAAATTATTTTTAAAAAAAATTAAGTACTAGATTCAAATCTAGTTTTTGTCCCCTGTTGTGGAGCAAAGAGTAAAAACTGGACATATCTTATCTACTGTCTCTTGTGGCTTATCTGACTCAGACTCCCCCGGTTGGCCTTGAAACTAGGCCGGCATATTAATTTCTCCTAGGATATGTGTAACACACCACCCCCCGAGAACTTCTGCGGAGGCTTATCAGAGCTGTGCTGGCTGACCATCAATTTATCGGGACAATGGACTATTTGGAAGTGCTTCATGGACCGCCTTGACACCAAATGCATATGTAATGTGTTATAAATGTGCTGCTGGCAGAGTTTTTGATGTCTTAAATTGTGTCCTGATAGGACGAGTTGTAAAGAGATCTGTTTTTGTAATACCACTATCCTCTCATCATGGCTTTTCCCCCTTTTCTATCTAAAAGAGTATTCTGAAAAGGATAAGAAGGCTACGCTATCATAGCAGCAGTTACGTGCACTCCGCCCATCGTTTGGACGACTGTACGGGCATATTCTCGCTGTATCTCGGTGCAATAATAATAAAGCTTATTATGATTATGATTCTCTTGTAAATGAGTCCTCAAGGCTCAGTGAGACTAACCTGTATAAATGAAGGTTGACTGAACTCTTCTGTCTGTCCGTTTATGATAACTAGAAAAATAAGTGAGTTACAGACTTCCATACTGGTGTTTAGCTGCAACTAGGTGTGAAAAAAGTTACTTTCTAAAAACAGATTGCCAAGTCATTATGCAAGATGGCCACCGCCATATGTATATGTAAACCGACCACCCTAGCATTTGAGATATGCTTTCTAGTGGCCCCCAAAGCACATAAAACACCTGAAATAAATGTTCCCAAATTAAATTAAATGCTGTTCTTGAACTCTTTAGAGTAAATTCAAAAGCTAGGTCTCTCTGTATAGGTAATGCGTTGAATTTTTTTTTACTTCAGCTGTCTTCAGCTGTAACTGTTGTTATTGTAGTCAAAACACACAAAAATCATTGGTTTTCTTCTATCTTAATTTTTTATTAGTTTATGTTGCTGCACATGGAGGGATGGAAAGAAAATTTGTATGAGGCTACAGCATCAAGTCTTACTTATTACTAGCTCAAATTTTGTAACAGTAGCACCAAATTTTAATATTCTGGACATATTTTATGAGAGTACGTCCATGCATTTTTCAAAGTGTCCAAATGGAGTCCAACATGTCCAAACAATTGGACACCAACATCAAACAGCTGTAACTCCTGAATCTTTCAACATACAGTCATCAGAGTTCTAATTAAATGTAAGAAATAGAGACATTAGACACAAAATAGACATTTTCAAGACATCTTAAGGACACCCCCAGGAAACTCGCCCCTAGGTTCATTGATCCTTTTTTCTATGATCAAAATAATCAACCCCACAGCCGTATGACTTCAGTCACCCTCCTTTTTGAGAATACATCCCACCTTCCATGTGTTTCAGGTCAACTTTCTGTTGCAGAAATTTGAAAATGCAGAAAAAGTAGGGTTCTATCTACTCTGAACCCTCAATACACCCTCCATCCATCACCACCCTCAACTCATTGACAACCATCCAGCTTTCACTGTCCGGCATATATTGGATGTACGTTGCAGGGGTTGGGGATTTCAGTGTCTGGTGGAGTAAAGGAGGGCTACGGCCCTGAAGAGAAGTCCTGGATCCCCAGATCCTTCATCATCAACCCCAGTCTCACCACCATAGACTACAGCCTGAAAAGCATTTTCGATCGTTTAGAGGCGATTCTTGGGGGGGGGATACTGTGGAGATTTTGTGTTTTCCTGCCACTAGCCACAGTTCTTACAGCTCTTGAGTGGCAGGGTGGAGCTTACCTCTCACACCTGTTCCTGATCCAGCCTGATGAGGTCTGAGCACTGTATTTTAGGACCTGTGGCTCAGTAGATCTCCAATGGAACATTTGAGACCTTCAGGTAACAAGTCTACAGCCCTCTGTGAGTCTAATCTCTGATAAAAAAATAAAAAAAACGCTAACCTGTACTCCTTGTGTTTTCTCCAGTCCTGTTACTTACCTGTGTTATGTTACTTGCCTGTTTCTTTGAGCACCCGCTGACTTACCTTCCTGTGAGATCTACAGTCTAGACCCACTTACCTTTGCGCCTCATCTTCTAAATGACTCAAACTGGATCAGTCCTTGAGTTTCTGTCCTGCCACTCTCCTACGAACCAATACTCACCTCATCTCCTCCTGGCTGGAACCCTCCCTCTCTCCTCACCTCCAACAAAGACAAAGTAAGGATATACTTAGGAAACTAAGGATCATAAAACATCTGTTTACTAGATACTGACCTTCCAATCTGCTTCTCCACAGATTCATCATGAGTTCCAGCTTCTATTAATTCTCACTATAAATAAAGATCACGTACATTTTTACATGCTCGTGTCTCTTGCTGTCAGTTTATTTACTACGGGTGAAAACAGTGTCAGTCATGCTGAACAAATGTATATCTAAACATTATATAAACAAACAGTTTATAAAAGGGTTTCACTTACTTTTGAAGAAGAATATGTTCTCAAGTACGACCCAGTTCATATTCCACCCTGGCTGAAGCGCTCACAGTCACATCTCACTTATTTTTATCCATTTCCTCGTCAGAAACAACACTCTTCCTTCTCTTACACCACTCAGACATCTTGTAAGAGCTTCATTTTGTTTTTGCAATACGTTTTGCAATCTTTTAGTTGAAAATCCCTCCATCCATGCAATATATTTACCTGCTTCTTCCCTTTCAGGTCACAAGATTCACTGGTGTCCATATCCAGCAGTCACTGTGCAAGAGAGGGGACACCCTGGACATGTCTCCAGTTCATCACAGGGACACATAGAGACAAATGAGACAAACAAACATTCACTCTCTCACTCACACCTAGAGACAATTTAGAGTTACCAATCAGTCTAACATTTGGTCTGTGGGAGGAAACCAGAGTAACCCCCCGCCCCCTGCCGCAGAATAGGTCCCCGGCCGGGATTCGATCTGGTGAGAGGCTGAGAGGCAGCAGATCTACTAACTGCACCACTGTAAAATAAACCACAAAACAAAGTATGTTTCACCTTTATAAAAGTATAAAAGGGGCTGAAAAATAATTTTACAATTTGTCTCCTACTTCCATTTCAGGTTTTACCTTCAAACATTGCACATCCTCGTGACGAGAATGTGATTGGCTGTACGTCTGTAGCATCAGAGCAGGGGTCAGAGCTGAATGATCAGTTCTGTATGCAAAACAGTGTGGGTGTCCCCAGTCAGACAACATGATGCTCGGTCAATATTGTTGGCTCTGAAGAGACCAGAGATCAACCCAGTTGGTCAAAAAAGGTGTCAATCAAAAGATTAGGGTTATACCACTATTTTGACACTTGGTATTTAAATTAGAAGTACCTGGTGAAGCGTAACAACTGTTTAAAGCAAAGAGACGTCACGACGGCCCGTGAGTGGGCCATTCTCAAATGATCTGGGTGGCTAAATAATCTATGATGGCCTTAGCTCCACCATTGCACCTGGTGGTGGATAAAAATGTTTTCTTTACTTGTCAGGATCTTTCATTCTGCGTTGCCTTGGACAAGCAAAAACAAAACCTCAATTTTTCTACAAAGTGTAGCTCCCACTCATTTCCAAAAACATTAAAGTTTACTGTATTTGCATTCTCTGTTCAGTTCTAGTCCAGAAAAACACTTGTCTCAAAAACAAACATGTACTATTCAATTTCCTCAGCAACAGGGGACATTGGCATACTCTTTGTATAGTTAGACAGAAAAATATACTTTAATATGAGCATTAAATTAAAGCTCAACTCAAGTTTAATTCTGGATAACTGAATGAAAACTTTACTCTTTCAGTATTGTCAAACTTTTATTTAACAAAGTTAAAAGAAGCCAAACAAGCAAAGGCTTTGGCTGATATTAAAATAACTGTGTCTATGAGATCTGGACTGATCTGTGAAGCTCAGGGTTTTTATAGCCTCTTATTAGGAGTTATACTGAATTAGGACTTAGCCTAGTTACAAGCCACCAAGCTGATATCACCTATGTTTAAAAACTTAAGAACAGAAAAGCAGAATATGGATGGGTTCTATAGTAGGGTCGTACAATTGTTCCTAATAATTGTTTAAATTATCAACCAGTGGGCGAAGGAGATCATGTTTTTGCATCTGTGTTGTGTTTCCCACCAAAGTATATCATGAACCACTTAATGAATTCCCCTAAAACTTGCAGAAAACTGCAGTCAATTCTATAAGTCAAGTGCCATGTGTTGTCATCATTGTATGTTTCCATACAATGGAGAAATTAGTTCTCTGCATTTGGCCCATCACACCTGGGATACACCCAGGTGGAGCAGTGGGCAGTTTATGTGGGCACCCGGGGAGCAACTGGGGATTGAGTGTCTTGCTCAGAGACATCACGACATGTGGGAATGGCTGGGAGTCAAATCTGGGACTTTCGGGTCCTGGGTCGGCTGCCCTGCCTCTACCCCATCTCGGCCCCCGATTCTAATGTCATTGATTCTAATTCTAATGCAATTTATTAATAATGTAATAATTCTAATGTTTCAATGAGATTTTCAGAATTCTTCACTGGATGATCTACAACTGATAACTTCTGTAGTCTGTTCAATTCAAGATGGACGTCACAACTATTTCACATTAGCTGTGACAAAAATATCTATAAATCAGACAGTTCTACAGGTATGAGCTAAAGTTTTGTGTGGTTGTAGCTGAGGGTCACCCCCAACACATCTCACAATTTGGCATGAGTCAAAACACAAGAATAGCTTTAAGATTTCAACCAAAACGACCACAACTCTCTCATTTCTCATTGTGTTTAAAATGTAGACAGTTAGCAGGTGATATTCATTCCTTTAAGAGATCCTAGGCCTTTAACGCCAACTCATTCCGTCATCTGGACTGACCTGAGGTGTCTGTACGAATGGAGTGTTTGTCCTCTGAGACCCGTCTGTCCGGACACGCCGAGCATGCAGAGCAGCCCACTGAGAAGCACAACATCCGTGTGCATGGTGTCCAGAGCCGCCGCAGCCTTTCCCAGAACACTCAAACCTGCAGGCTGCTCCCAACACTGTCTGCAGACAGCAGGCACATCCCGCCAGGCCTTCTGCCGTGAACATAATGTGAATGTATACAATAATGTCAGTCTTTAATCTCTCAAACGAGAGAAGCAGTTAGCCTACAAATCCCCCCCTGGTCAGATGGCTCAGATTTGCTCTGTGCCTACTGGAGTCAGTAAAACCCAGCATGTTTTTCTCCTTTCAGAGTGGAGCGCATTACCTCTGAGCACAGGAACAGATGTGTGGGTCACACAGATGTAGGATCTGATCCGGTGCCCTCTTTTATACAAAATAATTACAAGTAAATGAGACATACTCAAGTAAAGTCGACTTTTTTTATTTTTCCTGCACCAGTCTGGTGTATGCTTACTGGCTGTATTCTATAATTTAGTTTATTTTGCACTAAGACTTGATGCTGGCTTGACAAGGCAGAATGTTTAATCTATAATCAGTCAATGATTGTTTTCTAATAGCCCATGAATGGTGCAGGAAATTATGTAACAGGCTGATAATCCAGTAAGCTACAGTATGGCTGAGAGATGGAGCTGCAGGCTAAAAGCAGATTTGTCACTGGAGTTATATATTCTGTGACGACCATCTTATTAAATCATACGGCAGCCCAGCTGTGTTTATTTAATCATTTATTCAACCTCTGGTCCACATGTCACCAGATAACTGTCAAATCTCTGATGTCATCGGTAGTGGCTTCCCGTACTTCTAAAACCACGGACTAACAAACACAGAAACATTGTAGGGAAGTTGGAAAGAGTGAGGAACTTCCAACATTATCTAAAAGTGAGAAGGAATAAGCAGTACAGGAAGTGGGCTGCAGGCTGAAGTAGGACATTAACTTTATGTTCCATCCACGCTGCTGTTTTTCTTCAAGATGCAAACACAACGATGAGTAAATGTGGATAAATTCAAAGGATGGCAGAAAACCACAAGAACTAAATCTAACAAGGTTAACTTTGTTAACCTTGTTAGATTTAGTTCAGGTTTAGTCAGAACAGATTCTTCCTGTTGAAACATTTTATCTTTTATCCAAAAGACTTCTTCAGTCTGAGGAGCTGCACTAAACTCAGTCTTATAAATAGCACCTTCTTATAGTGGATCAAGCAGTTTGTAGAGACATACAAAACTATCTGTTCACATGATAAAGGAGGACCATCAGCCTAACAACTGATCTTTAGTGCTCTGATGACTGCTTGCTATTCACAGGGGGCTGAGTGATACTGGCAATAACAGCATTGTAAGAGGGGGACATTTATATATATATATATATATATATATATATATATATATATATATATATGTGTGTGTGGGTGTATGTATATATAGCAGGTAATCAACATATACTACACGGGTTGTGTGACAGGTTATTGCAAAGGTAGTGACATTGAGGTTGAATTATTAATTAGTTATTGCCAGTTGTTCAGTATTATTTATTAGTTATTAATTAATTAATTAATTAATTAATTAATTAATCGAGAGTTCAGTAATCTGACAGTTCGTGGGTAATAGCTGCCCTTTAGTCTTTTTGTACGCAATGACAGACTCCTGTATTGTCTGCCTGAGGGTAGAAGACGGAAAAGTCCTTGTGCTGGGTGGGTGTGAACCTTAATGATGCTGCGTGCTTTATGCAGACATCGGCTGTGGTAGATGTCCTGAATGGTGTGGAGACTGCTACCAGTGATGTCCTCTGCTGTTTGCACCACCCTCTGTAGTGCTTTCCAGCTCTGGCTGGTGCAGTTCCCATACCACCCTGTAATGCAGCCTGTCAGCAGTCACTCAGTGCTGCACCTATAAAAGTTGGTGAGGATGTTTGTTCGTACCAAACTTCTTTAATCTTCTTAGGAAGTCGAGTCTTTGTTGGGTTTTCTTGACCACAGTGTTTGTATATAAAGTCCAGGAAGATCCTCAGTTACGTGAACGCAGAGGAACTTGAACCTGCTGACTTGCTCCACCTCAGCATTGTGTAGGGGAACACCTCGCCTCAGAAAACAGTTCACCTCAGCTCAAACAAACAAACAAAATAAAAGAGTTCACCAAATCTCAAACAAACATCATTCCTGTGTTTTGTGTTTGAAACTGTTAAAAGTAAGATTTGTCATTCCCCATGAAATGGACAGATAGTTTTTAATGAGAGCTGTTGTTCAACTGACCTCGGAGTTTTGAAACGTTTGAAAAACTCACAAAGTTGATATCTCCCCTTTTTGAAATGGAGTACTGTTATCAGACTTTCTTCCATGGGAAGATGACAACACAGAAAGAGCCTTTTTTTGTTCAAATTGACATTCCTTTTCCAGATGTTCAGTTCAACAGCGCCACCTCTGTTAAACCAGTGCATGTCCATCCATCCATCCATCCATTATCTTTACCCGCTTATTCCACTTTGGGTCACGGGGGTCGCTGGTGCCCATGTCCAGCAATCACTGTGCGAGGGGCGGGGTACACCCTGGACGGGTCGCAAGTCCATCACAGGGCCACATAGAGACAAACGAGACAAACAAACATTTACACTCTCACTCACACCTAGGGACAATTTAGAGTTACCAATCAGCCTAACATGCATGTTTTTGGTCTGTGGGAGGAAACCGGAGTACCCGGAGAAAACCCACGCATGCACGGAGAGAACATGCAAACTCCACACAGAAAGGCCCCTGGATCGGGGATTGAACCAGGGACCTGCTTGCTGAGAGGCAGTAGCTCTACCAGTTGCGCCACCATACTGCCCACCAGTGCATGTTTTAAGTTTAATTCTAAAATGTCATATGCTGAATGTTGATTCATGAAAATGTGTGTTTTAAGTAATCTTTCTTTAAGATAATACATTCGTCTTGTTTTCTCTTTTAAAAGGAAACTTTGAAGGCAGAGAAAAGGGACTTTAGATTTATAAAACAATATCAAGATTAGAACCTTCTCTTCCCGAGAGGTGGACCTTCATCTCTGTTCTAACACAGAGATAAGTTTCACTTGAAAAAAAAATCAAAGAGACACACTTCGTAGAGAACTTCGAAGAGACACTCCGAAGCCTTCACACTTCACTGGAACTTTTTAAGAAAAACTCCAGAGACTTCACACTGGAACTTGGAACTCAGAGAGAGAGGAAACACAGCTTCTGCTCTTGACTTCAGAGAGGAGAGAGAAGAAACTTCAACAGACGATTTTGAGCAAGCCAGAAACATCCTTTCTGCAGATGTCTCAAGAGAGAGACGAGATGAAAAGATACAGAACTAGCACCTTCCCAGAGTGAACTGTGAGTAATCAATCCAGAACAGTTATCCATTGAACCAGTTTCAGAGGAGGACTGCAGTCATAGACAAGGTAACTCGGGAGATTTCTCGACTTACGGGCTACCATCTGCACCATCTGTCTGGTATCTACGGAGGCTGTTAAAACTTGGAGAACTCTCATGGTTTCATCTGTTTGCTGGTGACCCTACATCACAATAAACCTATCAGACAAACGTAGCTCACCTTAGACACAATTTTAACCACTTTACAAACAGAAGCCAGTCCAAAGTCTGCCTTTTAAGTTTCACTAATTTTACAAATCAATTAGACCTTTGATTCAAAGCCATTTGATGTTCAGTTAACTTTTTGACATGCGTAATTTTCACCATATCACAGATTATTATTTTTATAATAAAATGCATACATTTCAACTTAATTTGTGATTATTTTGGCATATCTGATTGTATTAACTGATTTGATGCCCTTTAAACATGAGAAAAGAACTCGCATTCAGTTTACATTAATTTGGGGTAAATAGAGACTGATTTTCCTCTCCAAGAGAGAAGTGGTGCCTAAACAATGAGGTTATTTGCATAATACATGCATATATTATGAGCTTAACTCATAACTGATAATTAACTATATATTTACACCCCATATCACTACAGTTGTTTACGTTTATGGTGGAGTGCGGGCCTCCACGCTGTTTCCTGAAGTCCACTATCATCTCCTTTGTTTTGCTGGCATTTAGAGAGAGATCCGGACACCAGCTGGTCAGTGATTTCACCTAATCGCTGTAGGCACTCTCGTCGTCGTTGGTGATGAGGCCCAAGATGATGGTGTCATCAGGATACTTGTGGATGACGTTAGATCTGTGCTTGGTGGTACAGTCATGTGTAAATAGTGAATACGGGAGTGGACTGAGGACACAGTACTGAGGTGTACCGGTGCTGAGGACTAGTGTGGAGGAGAGGTGACAGCCGATTCTCACTGCCTGTGGTCTGTTGGTAAGGAAGTCCAGTATCCAGCAGCAGATGGACTTCTCCAGGCCCAATGCGATGAGCTTGGAGACCAGCTTGGAAGAGATTATGGTGTTGAATGCTGAGCTGTAGTCAATGAAGAGCATTCTTACATAGATATCCTGATGCATGCTCAATAATCCAGGTAGAAAAATCTAAAAAAGTTAAATCTGGTCCTCTGGACATTCAAAAAAAAACAAAACAAAGCAAATCAACAAAAAAAATGTAGAAACGTTTCGTCTCTCATCCAAGAGACTTCCTCAGTCTGAGGTGTTGTTTTCAGCTCAGTCTCTTAAATAGCACCTTCTCAGAAACATGGGTGTGCTATGGGGTCTCCAGTTTCTCCTATTGTTGCCAACCTGTACATGGAGGAGGTAGAAAAGAGAGCCTTGACGTCCTTTTCAGGGACACCACCAAGTCATTCGTTCAGGTATGTTGACGACACCTGGGTTAAAATTAAATCTCAGGAAGTCCAACATTTTACTGACCACATCAACTCTGTGGATAAATACATCAAGTTCACACGAGAAGATGTAAAAAATGGCAAGTTGGCTTTCTTGGACTGTGAGGTCTCAGTCTCTGATAGAGGACATTTGCAAACCGAGGTGTACCGCAAACCCACCCACACAGACCAGTATTTGCAGTTTGACTCCCATCACCCTTTGGAGCACAAGTTAGGAGTCATCAGGACTCTGTATCACAGAGCAGACTGCATCCCCACTAGCTCGGGAGCCAGGCAGAAGGAGAAATCCTACACAAAACAGGCTCTTGAGCAATGTGGATATCCTAACTGGGCCTTCCTGAA